ATACAAAAATATTTAAATAACCATAGCCATATTAATGTCTGTCGATATCCACTTCTATTAATGTAAACATTAGTCCATCAACCTGTGCTGTCGCACGGTTTAAATTCTTCCATACGGACCAACTTTGAGGAACTTAAGCAACAGAAAACCATGTTTAATATATGTTTTAATAAAAAAAACTTCATTCAGTTAACTTTTATTTGAATCCAAGGTTACACAAATGTTTAGAATTGGCATTGGTATGTCTGAGAGAAATCATCGTGGCATTTCTAATAGTGTTCATTAATTTAATTCCACGGTTGGATATTTTCTTTTCCTTCATTTGTTTTGTGCCGTAATTGACTTTGTACGTTATTTGGACGTGTTGGATATCTCTCTTTAGTAATTGAACCGTGTGTATACCAATATTAAAAGATTATTATCTTTTTTTAATAACAGATGTGGATAATTTAGATACAAATTTAAGGATTATTTTGAATTGTAGTTCATAATGGTAGAGTCATATTTTACATACCTGATTCTTTCTCTTATAAAACATAATATATCATATGGCTAATATTGATAATTTTTAGGTTTTAGCTTTTCCTAGTGTGTCATGGAAGCTGTTAAGCGAAAAATATTATTATTAATTGATGAGCCATACAAAATCAAACCTAATTCTTCTAAAGTTCTATTGTACTGCATTTGCTCCTCCAATTTCCCTTTTAAATGGTCATCAATATGAATCTCTTCTATACTAATACCACTTGAAGATATGCCCTTCTATACAAAAAAAGTTACAATGTTAGAGTGTAAGCTACATATACAAAAATAAAAATACCACTATTTTAATTTGATTTACCTGTCACATGCATTCATAGCTTCAGGAATTGGTAAATCTGCAAAAACTTTTGTTGCATTGGTTGATGACAATGAATATTCGGCAAAATAAGAATTATTTACTTTCCTTAATTAGAGGCTTGCTGAATGGCTAATATTATTGAATTATTGATATTAAATGAAGACTTACTGCCAATTTTTTTCATGGTTGTAGACATTATTGCAATGACCTGAGATTTTGCGCTCTTATTAATTTGCTCAACTTTGACCCCCAAAATTGAATCTTAACTTCTTCTCCACCGCAAATTTTGAAATAAAAAATAATGTAATTTAAGATGTGCCAAAACATTAGGGAAAATAGTCTAATTTAACTTGTGGAAAACAATAAGGAAATATCTTCAGTTTATCAGGGTTGCTGCAGTAGCATTTGGGAAGGAAAATCCTAATCGATCAAGAGCACAATATCATGGATTTTGGTCACTTGCTCAGAAGTATGTCCTGGTTTCTTCTATCTGTCCAATTTGTGCTGCAGCTCCTATAATATCTATGATACATAAATATGAGTTCTTATTATCAAATAGTGATCAAATGAGGAAAAACATAAAAAAATTCTAACATTAGTAGTAGTTTACCTGAGAGGTACATGTTGTTATTTACTCTATTAGAAAAGCATGTATGTACCAAAGAACTGGAAACTATACTTTGGAATGTCTTGTGTATCTTTGATCTTCTTTATATTAGTTGTTTGCAAGAAGTTGAGTACCTTATCATTCTCCACTGGTCGATATGTTTGTATAGCTGTTGTGACTCTGACATTTGCAATGATTTAAACTTTACCTTCTTCGGTCAGTGTTTTGAATTTTTCGATGCATGCCTTATTGATAACTCCATGCATCTTGGTCTCCCAATTTTTTTTTATTATCATTAGCATGTAAATTGGAAGTAATATGAGGCCATTACAGACACAGTGATATACCTGATGGTCAATAAGGATCATATTGAGTCTGATTTGTTCGGCACTACCTAGCAAGATTGCATCCCACATTCTAGTGACCCATGCTTTGACTTTCCACAATTCCTTTCCTGGCCTAATCTCACTTAGGTTTTGCTAACAATTGCAACTTGTAAACTGAAAAACATAAAATGATTCATGTAGATTGATGATACCTTTGGTTGGTGAATGATGCAAACAATAGACCTTTGATTGGTGATGATGGAAACAACCGAATGAAATTGATCGATGGAGATGATGGAAACAACCGGACGAACAGTTGATTGTGATGATGGAAACAACCGAATGAAATAGATCGATGGAGACGATGCAAACAACAGGACGAATAGTGTGAATAGATGGATTCCAGCGATGAATAGATGGACTCTTGTTTGCGGGTGGTTGACAAAAGGGATGTTTGGATCCCTTGCTGGCCCTTGCCTTGCCTAGGTGGGTAAAGATAGAGGTGTTTGGTTTGCTTGCTCACTATCCCAGTTCTTGTGTTTTAGAGCTTTTTCTTTACCTCAAGTAAGCCAAATCCGCTCTCCGATACTAGCAAGGCTAGCCTTGCTTGGTAAGGTGAGGCAAGTCTAGCGGGTGAGAGAACCAAACATGACCAAAATATGTAAAGGCAGTCTAGATCGGCTAGATGGGTTCCTATTTGTACGTAGGCCCTGTTTGTAAGTGGTTGATGACACAATATATAACGTAGATGCGTATCTGTTTTGTTGGTGTTGATAGATTGCCTTCGATATCTTTTATCTAGAATTTTTGTTAATACATTTTTTGAGGGAAATTTTTGTTAATATACATTTAGTTCTCCGTTGGCGTGGACGTAAATAACCAACCATGGACGTAGCACCCTAGATATATTTGTCTATTTTTTTAATCTATAATAATAATGGCTGAGGCCAACCATGGAGGTACCACACTACCACCCTATCTTACTAACTATATGACGTGGGTACTTTGGATGGGTTTTCTCGGAACGACGAAATCTGTTTTAATGTTCTCCTAAAAAATAATATATTTGTCCATTTTTTAATCTATAATGGTAAAGGTGGGTAATTTTGTGGATAACAAAATAGATCCAATGGTCAGGAGTGGCTACACACTTTCGATTTGATGGCCGGATGCTTATGATTAATTTGAGAATTTCTAGTATTTATCTTTTTTCCTATCGCATCTGGTGAGAATTAACGTGAAGCCTCCGTTGGGCAGATACATGTTGTGTCCTCATGCATATCATGTATGCATGGAATAATGAGAGAGAAATATATGTCATGTTTCACTGATCATAATTTTTTTCTTAACGACTCATTTATTAATGATACCAATAAATTTAATAAAGTTATATTAATAATCATGATAAATAATTTATATGAGTTGTTACTTTAGGTATATGTATATATTTTCATGAAAATATTTGGCATACCTATATTAGTAATATAATCATTAGTGCACATATATGATATGAAAATTTAAAGTGTCAAACATATTGAGACGTACAACAAGTGGTAGTGATTAGAGAATGTGAGGAAGACGTACGACAAGTGAATCATCAAGCAGACAGCAGTCCGCGCTATGAATGTGTGAAGCTGTCAGCAACCCCGATACCGATGGCATAAGCGGCAAGCAAGATATATATTATAATAATAAAGTGATGGAACTGAAGAGGATCGTAAGTGATGGAACCAGCAGATGGGTCGCGCCGTAGCATCAGGACAGGGAAGCCCAGCATCCATGTGGACGGCCCAGAATGGGTTAAGCCCAAGTAAAGAGACCTACGTGAGTGAGCTATGTTTCCTTAAAAAAAAGTGATTGAGCTACGTAATCTGCTTTGACCAAACTATTCCAGTTTTTTTGAACGAACAGGAGGGGCTTGCGCCCCTACTGAATTTTATTAAAAAAAACCAAGAAACAAAGAAATACAAACAAAAGACTAGGCTAGAGTGAAGTCCATCCAGCAAGTTCAGGAGAAAAAAAAAAGGAAACAAAGAAGATGAGCTTAATTACACAAGTTGCTCTAGCCATGAACTAATTTGAGATAGATACTTATCCTTGGCGCGAAGAATAACCAGGCCGAAGACATTCCTGAAGACATGCTTGCACACAAGCGTCCGGACAGCTCGTACCCGGGCCTGCGTAACAATCGGGCCCAACAAGCCTCCTCCGCTCCACCTTTGGTACAACACGGTTTCTCAAAAAAAATAAAAAACACAGCGACATTTACTTTCCTCAGTGCCCCACGCATGCGGCCACCTCAGGTGCATCCACCGCGCTGCATGCCCGCTGCTGGCCTTCTCCAGCCACAGCCTTCCCGTCTAACGTCACGTGCCCACTCCACCTCGCTGCTGCTGTGCGCCGCTCACGCCCGCCCATCGCGCTCGTCCATCCCGCGTCGCTCGCTCCCGCCCGTCGCGCTCGCCCACCCCGCGCCGCTCGCTCCCGCCTGTCACGCGCACCGCCCGACCAGCCGAGCCAAGCTCGGTGCTGCTAGCGATCGTGGTGGTGGTGCTCACACGTCGCCAGCTCCGACCCCGATGGTTGAAATCGCTCGGCCCCTGCCTCCCTCATGTTGCAAGCATATGTTTCAAGTGTTTCAGATGTTTCGTAGCTACGTTTCAAGTGTTTCATGCGGATGTTGCAAAAGTAGATTGGGATGTTGCATATGTTGCAATAGTTGTACACGTATTTTGCAAGTTTCCCAATGTTTCATTTATTTTTTTCAGACGTATGTTGCAAATGTGTTTATCTGGATGTTGCATATGTTTCACACATATGTTGCCAGTGTTTTATCCGGATGTTGCATATGTTTGCAATTGTTTTTCAAGTGTTTTCCATGTGTTTTTGCAAGTGTTTCAGACACATGTTTCGAATGTTTCAGTTATTTTGTACGTATGTTGCAAGTATTTCATATATATGTTTCAAAAGTAGATCGGGGTGTTTGACATGTTGCAATGTGAGCCACCTGCCGCAACCGCCTGCTACAGCTGTTGGGGCGCCGTGTATGGAGGGGAAAGGCGCAGCAGGCGTGGAGGGCGCGGGAAGCAGGGAAGCCTGGGGGAGCGCCGCAGGCGCGGCCGAACGTCCGGGCACTAGTGGTGCCGATAACATAATGGTCGTTCTACCTAAAGAAAAAAAACAGAACGGCCATTCATCTTTCGTTGGTTTCCATGTTTTAATAACGTCAGCGTATACTCCGTCTATTGCAGACAAAGCAGAAAGCACCGAGAAGTACTGTAATTATTGCAAACGAATAAATATGTACACATTGGTAGAACCACTCAAAGCTGCGAATAATCTCCCAATAATTAATTGGAGGCTTGGAGTAATGGCGCGACGCTGCTAATGTCGTCGGAGCATGTAGAACTGCAGCGCGGTGTAGATGGTCTGCACGATGAGCATGACGAGGAGAACAACGGCGAGGATCACCCAAGCCTCCGGCCTCCGGCTTGGTAGTCCTCAAGCATTCGTCCCTGCGTTTAAGCCTGGAGCCACACATCCTCCACGGCCTCCGGCGGCAGTAGGCGTTCACCTGCCGGTGCACGGCGTCGATGGCGCCCTCCGGCTCGAACACCGCGTCCTTGGACATCCTCTCGAACATCTGCGCCACCGCCTTGTCGCTGCCGGCGGCGGCGTTCTGGACGATGCCCTCGGAGCGCAGCAGCGTCACGTCCCTGGCCGAGCCGAGGACGTTGCTCATGAAGAACACGTACGCCGCCACGTCGCTCCCGGCGCCGGCGTGGAGCCTCTCGAACCCCATCATGTTGAGGAGCGCGTACTCTGTGGAGTCGTCCACGCACAGCGCCGGCACGCTCAGCACGCCGCGCCGGAACCGGACGTGGCGCAGGTTGTGCGCCCAGCTCCTCTTGAACACCGGACCCCGGCCTCGTGGAGCTCCACCGCCGGCCGGATGATCGTCGCTTCTTCTTGGTAGGTGTCTAGTAAGTCCCTCGAGTCGGGCCGGCGGGAGCTCCCATGAAACAGGCTCCCGCGGTAGACGACGAGTGGGTGGAGCCCCAGCTCGACGCCGACGGCCGGTGACGACGGGGACAGAAACCTCAGCACCATCCTGTTGATCTCCTGGTGGCTCTGCGTGGCATGCAAATCCAGCATCCGTGGATATCAAATCGGAGTATTTATTTTACTAATTCACGATTCATGGTTAGTAAAAATACAGATCAACAACAAGATTGAAAACAAAATTACGGCTATATATATCTAGTGGTCAGATTTGCTACTACCGGCGGCTGTGCAGTCATGACGGTGACGAGCCTCTCGAGCTCGAGCAGCGGCAGCTGGTTCTCGAGCATGAGCATGTCGCGCCGGATGAAGGGCATCACGTAGAGCACCCCGTGGCGACTAAAGACGGGGTCACTGGAGGCATAGCCATCGCCGCCGCCACCGCCGCTCTCGTCGCCGCGCCACTCAACGCCGAGATCCCGGTACGCGGTCTCCAGCTGCTCTGCCGCGCCCCGCATGGCGGCTCTGAACTCCTCCAGCGGCCGCCCGCACCGGCGCAGCAGGTGCGCCTGCGCCCGGCCCTTGTGCGCCTCCATCGGCAGCAGCGCGGTGTCGCCGTGGTGGAAGGGGCCCAGCGACACCACCTGCGGCCGGTACGCCTTGGGGCTGACGTCCCTGATGAACGCCGGCACGCGGTAGATGGCGTGGCGCTGCCACCGCGACGCCTCCGCGCGCGCGTCCGCCTCGTTGGGCGGCGTCTTGTCCACGTCCAACGCCCGCGACGACATGGACAGACGACGACTGGTGGTACAAGATTACAAGTGCTAGATTGAACTTGTAAAGATGATTACTAGATTCTTATAGAACATAGTATATGTGTTAGGAACTTGAGAAGTTGGCAGCTATCTATCGATCTAGAGATACTTATATAGCCGTTTCGGAGTATATTTCTATTGTCGAAAAGACCGAGGTTGCCAAAAGAATGTCTGGTTACTTGCATTCGTGTGACAGAGCGTGCACAGTATAGTGTGTGTGTGAGTGATATATATATATATATTCAGTAGGCAGCTACAAAATAAGTTATTCTGTACCCACCTCCATTTACAATAATTTTATATACTAATTTACGATAATATCAATACGTATTTACGATAGTTGGGTTCATGTAACACATGGGGATATTTACCATAACGTTATAGTAAACTACTTAGTAAGGAGTTATTATAATCTCGTAAATTAACATAGTAATTATCATAACTCAGAGTGGCTACAGAATAAGTTATTTTATAGTCAGCTACGGGGTAGTAGTTATATATATATATATATATATATATATATATATATATATATATATGCACAAATAAAAATGTCTAAATATGTAACTCTACATACACTCACTCTTCTTGTCCTTCATTCACATCGAACCTAAACCGTAACTCTCGGCTTCCATTGGATTACACCTTTTGCCTCCATTTCCACCTTTCCCAAACAATCGTTATGCCTTTGTCGGGAAGGCTCCACGCACGTTTTTTTTTCCACTTCCACCTATTATCATCTGGTACTGTGTCTCTCTCCCTTTCAAATTATAGCTTTTAATTACTCTCCCCATCCTTAAATACAAGATATTTCAGTAATTTTAAAATCAAATAAGGAGTCTGGCAAAAGACTAAGAGGGTGTTTTTAAGACGTGTTTTCTACTATATGGCGGTGAAAAGAAACAAAGAATCGCGCCACCACCCCTCCCCCCCTACTGACGATTCTTCTGACCGCATACGGCGCCGGAACCACAAAATGAACTAGCTCCTGCATTTTTCATGCCGCGGCACACATAAAGATGGCAACGGGGAATTCCCCGTCGAGGGTTGACGCCTGTCCCGTCTCCCTGGGGAGAAATCCCACCATCCCGTCCCCCGTGAACACCGTCCGGGGAAGTTTCTTCCGTCCCTCAAGACAGGATTTTATCCTCGGGGTCCTCGTCCCCAGTAAAAACATCATAGCTAAGCTGAAAACAAACCTGTGAAATCTATCAATTGAGGAAGTTTCGCACATGCAGATTGCCAGGAAACAAACATTGCTAGTTCTCATCTCATAAAATCCAAGAAAACAACAAAGTATAAGAAACTGGAGACTAATACAAAGCAAATAGGCCACGAATCTCCAAATCTTCTTGACTCACTACTACACATATTTTATCCCAGGCGGTTCAAAATGGTTTTTCCAGGAGGGCAATCTGTCCGCCTTGGTGGAAAGGCTTGTGTTAATCGCAGTAACACAAGCGGTCCTAGGCCAAGACCTGGCCACCCACTCACCCCTAACTCAGCTTGATCCTTGGCCACCCCTACATTGAGCTTGACCTCTAGCCACCCCTATCGTTGCCGAGCACTGGCACAGTGTCAAGATGTCCAATATGCACACTATCACAATCTCTAACGTATTCTTGCCATATAAAATTAACCAAAAGTAAATCCTTAAATATAAATCTAAATTACCCACCCTACCGTTATGAAAACAACCTAAAATGACCCTAGAAATCTATGTCACCTCTATCATTACTAAAATAGTAAGTAACGCCCTAAATCTATATCTAAACTACAGACATCTAGTATTTTGTAAATTACTCTAAGTACACTAATCAACCAATATTAGCATTAGAGAACCCCTAAAGTTTCATCTAAATTACTCAACGATTTAATTATATAAATTCTCTGCAATTACCATGCATCTAAGTTTCCATATGAATTACACACCTATATCATTATTAAAAATAGCATAAAACAACCCCTTAATATGCATCTAAATTACCTACATTCATAGTTGTTAAAAAATATTCTAGTTTTTAAAATATGCTTTTAAATTTGTCGCTTTTTACCAAGATAAACACACATGATGTGTGCCCTGATGCGAACTATATATATGCATGCGAGAAGTAATGAGCATTGTCAGTTTCCATGTCAAGCACACATAGATCAAGCTAAAGTTTCAACTGAAATATGTCAAATACACACGGAGGTGCAACGAAGAAGAGAAAAATATATGAATATGGATGGAAAAGCATAAAAAGTAATTGTTAAAATCTATAACAGGTAGATAATGAATAAAGAGATAGAAAACTACTTATATTATATGAGATCGTGTTAGGAGTAGACAAATAACTGAGATAAAAAATAAGCACGTCTAAAGGTTATCTCTCTGAGAATTACTAGGCCATATAGGAGCATGGGTATGTATCTAATGGAATATGAGAAATGTTGCCCTTCCACAGAATTATTGAAGGGCCATATGATGATGGGCCATGCATAGAATGCTTGAATCCTCCAAAAAGAACAACCTGATGACAGCTATATATATCTAGCTGATTGGTAGGGGCTAGCAGTTAACCAACTAACCGAGTGCAAATATGATGAAGTATCACATGCATGGTTTTGGCGTGGTCAACCGGTCACCCTGATATCTGAATATATGCTTACTTTGTGCCTGCAAGGTGATCAGAAGAAGCATCAGACCATTTAGTTAGGCTTTGCGTAAAGACATGGAATCTCACCTGCTTTCGTTTCTGAGATGCGTAGACATGGAATGGAGCTCCAGCTCGTGATCTCTACCATCTAGTAGCATGCAACAGAGGAATGAATCGTAGTTGCTTGATAGCACTGCTCTGCCCCAACAGCACTGTGACTAGGCCACTCTCCGGACCATGGCCCGATTCACAGCCCAGTAGCAGCTCTCTCTATGTATTAGTTCCTCTCTGTTTCTCACCTTTTTTTGCTTTTGGCTTCCAATCAAACGGCAAAAGCTGAAATAAATAGATCATGTTTTGAAAGTGGATTATAGAATCTACAGACAAAAGCAAGGTTTATTAATTATTAGTGGGGCTGCTGGCTTGCATGCAGATGCTATCCGAGGCGTATCATATATTCATATGTATGTACTATAGATTTCATTAACTTATTGTCACAACCTAAAATATTTATTTTTGAGACGTGAATGTGAAAAACAAATAAAATTTTAGACAACCTATCAGTAAATAGCTTGGAATCTTTGTTCATGGAAAAGTTATTATTTTCTAAAATAAATATAAATTAAATATTGGATATATGTTTGTTTGTTGTATTAATGCCGCTGCATTTTGGTTTACCGTGTGCTTGGGAGTTCTCTGCTTCTTTTCTTCTGTTGCGTTGAAAATCGATTTATGAAGTTTCTGTTTTTTTAAAAGAAAAGGAAAATACGTTGGTTTTCCTCCCCCACGGCAAACTTCTTTTGGCCTGCATGCCGTTTCCTTTTGGGCTTGAGCCCATTTTCCTTGCCGCTACCCATTGATCTTCACTTATCTACAGATAATGGGCTGTGGCCCATAACAGCAACCCGCAGCAGTCCAGCAGCAAAACTATTTTATATATACTAGTATATACTAGGACAATAAATGTAAAGGCAACATCAGGGGCCTTTTAAACCCTTGATCTGTTTTATATAATACAAAAAAAACTAAGAATAAAGAGTTGTCACTACGAATTTTTTATGTAGTTCTAACTAGAAACAGAATTTGTCTAAATAGAATTTAGTTCAACCAATAGTCCAACTAATCAAACCGTAAATTGAGATCATGAACTATTTGTTGTTCAATCCGGTCTAAATAAATGTAGAGACCCTAAAAAGTGCTGCTAGTTTCTTGGCCCTTTTTTTCTCGAACTTCTTATTTGGCCCTAAGACGAATTTCCTTTGGTTTTTTGGCCCTTCCGTTAGTCTGATGGGCTAACGGTGTTAAGCTGTACGTGAAATTGTATGAGGTCTCTTGTTATAATCATCAGCGAAAAACCAGTCCCTAACACATTAGCAACTAATTATTTGCCGACTTGATTTTTATGTCTTCATTCTTTGAAGGAAGCCACCGAGCTTGATACTTAACAGTTCCAGTTTATAAACAGTGTGAAAATTAAAGTTATAATACATTGTGAGCAAATATTTTCATGCTTTACGATAGGAGAGAAAAAGCTATCAAGGTTTCGTGTTTTGCAATATATAGGAGAAAAAATCTATCAAAGTTATACTTAAATTTGATATATATACTTAACAGAACATCGTTATTTTATTGCAAACGTTGGCTTAAATTATGGATCACTAGTACAGGTTCATACGTTACTGTCGGGTTTAACCTCGGCATCAATCCTGAAAATTTGATTGTGCAGAAGGCAATCTGCAACGATGGGGCTTGCTATCACAATAGGTTCGAGAAGCAAAAATGATCGAATGATATCACTATGAGTTCTAACCACGAACCTGAACTGATAGTGATGAAAAAATAAAATATATGTTTTCAGGATTCAAACTCAAAACCTTAATGTTCTCTCAAGCACTAGGTGAGCTAAACCTTAATGCTCTCTCAAGCAATGGCAGAGCCCTAATGTGGGTTTTGGTGATAATGATCACGCAATTAGAGGACAATGGTGGTGATGAATCTTATATTTATATTTGACACTCTGAACATGTTAAATTAAAGGGAAAAGTCTATTTTTGGCACTCCAACTACGGCTGCAGTTTTGTTCTAGCCCTCTAACTCGAAAATCAGACACGCGCAGTCCCTTAACTCTCAAAACCAGTTGAAATTGGCCCTCGCGCCCATTCAAAAGCGGTTTCCGCACAATAAACCCGCCACGACCCCGCTTGTCAGGCCTTTCCCTCTCACCGCCAGGTTGGGACCACCTGTCATCCCCCTCCCTCTCTTCGTAGGCCCCGCATGTCAGGCCTTTCCCCAACCTCCCGCCATGTACGGCTGCGCGCTCGCGCGTGTGGGTGC